TGATCGGCTCCCAGCTTTTGGTTTTTCATGATTTCTTGTTTTAATCTGAGTTTTATCCTCGAATGGATGAAAATCCGTCACTCAACAGAACTTTTACTGCAAAATAAACCAACCCACACTGGACCAGTTCTACATGTTCTGGTTCTGAGCTCTCGTCCACATTGAGACCAGAAGTCCTGCTGATGGATGAAGCACTGAGACTTAACTGGACCGACCCTGAAGCGCTCCAGCACCAGCAAACGGGTTTTCATACTCTGAGAAATAAAAGTCAAACAGTTCCAGATGGAAGAACTTTTACTGCTTCGGCGCCGGTTCTGTCTTCAGCAGGTCAGAAAAACGACTCAAAGAGGTTCAGCTTCAGTCGACAACAAAGAGAAACAAAGAGAACGCATCGGATCAGCTCCAGCGGTTCTGTTTGGATCAAACCCATCGACCGGTGGACGGCTGACCTCGACGGGTCTCTTACACAACCAGCCGCTGGTGGCACGGCGCTGCCGGCGCTGCCGATGGAAATGTGGGTCAGAGTTTGTTGGTGGCACCGACCCGATGTTCCTCCATCTTCCCCTCAACATGTGGGCCCGTAAATCAGCTGCAGCTCTGACCTTAATTAGGTTTCCATACCGAGCTGGAAGCTGCACTCAGCAGCTGGTGCCGCTTAAAGTTTGGACCCGACGCAGAATGTTTTCAGTCGTCTTCAGGAGGTCCTGGTTCACATTTATACCGGGTTTGGACTGGTTTTACTCTGGTTTTATACTGGTTTTATACTGGTTTTATACTGGATGTTATGTTGGTTTGGACTGGGTTTTAAATAGCTTTGGACCGATGATGGACCAGGTTTAAGGTCTTTCTTTAAGCTGGTTTTGGACCGGTTTCTGACTAGTTTTAGGTTCAGCTTTGGACTGGATTAAAAACCAGTTTCACACTCGTCTCAAACTGGTTTTTGAGTTGTTTCAGTCTTGTTTTGGACCGATATTAAAACTGGATTTTAGGATTTGTTTTAAGCTGGTTTTGGACTGATTGTGGAGCTGTTCTAGACCGGGTTTAACGTTTCAGACCTTGTGTTAGACTGGTTGTACACTGGTTTTATACTGGTTTTATACTGGATGTTATGTTGGTTTGGACTGGGTTTTAATTAGCTTTGGACCGATGATGGACCAGGTTTAAGGCCTTTCTTTGAGCTGGTTTTGGACCGGTTTCTGACTGATCTTGGATGGCTTTAGACTTATTTTAGACTGGGTTTTATGCTGGTTTCTGACCTTGTTTTGGACTGGGTTTTGGGCTGGTTTTGGTCCTGTTTCAGGACTCTGTCTGAGGACCTGGAGGTGACGCCCTGTTCGGGTCGCGCCCACAGAGCCTCCAACCTGTTCGCCCGGTTTGCTGGAATGAGCCTGAAGCTGCTTGTGGCTGAATCACATTTTTCTTCAACAGCAAACGAGTCAGATTCACGTCGAGCTGATCGGCGCCGGCTGCCGTCGGATTCGTTGTTGTGTCAGTTAACAGTCTGAGCAGTTGAACTCACAGAACCTTGGGGGAGTTCTCAGCTCAGAACGGGCCTCTGGGGGGCGACCCGGTATGTTCTGGTTGTTTCTGGTCATTTAAAGAACAGAACTGTTTGTTAAACTTAAACAGGTGAAACCCAACAAACCAACCTGTTAAACATGGAACTGCTGCTTTTATTCGTATCATCGTGCTGCTGGTGCCGGCCCGTTTGGGTCGACTCTGCTGGACTGAAGCTGAACAACATCTGCAGACAGTTTGGATCAGGAGCCGTGACGCGATCAGAGATTCTGACCCGCTGAAGGTCCAACAGGTTTCAGACGAGTCGACACGTTTGTTTGTTGGCAGGAAATCTGAAGAAGAAATGAAACAAGGATTTAAGTCCAGATGTTAAAGTCGGGCTTCAGAAAACCCAAATCAAGAGTCAGAACCAGGGAATCACAGCGAGGGGCTTCATCAGCAGAACCTCTGATTGGTCGAAGGTTTTACCAGCAACAGAACAAAACTCAGTTCTGAAAGCAGGTTCAGACCTAAACCCAGGTCTCAATCTAGTCCAACATCAGGTCTGGAGCCCAGTTCACAACCAGATCAGAATCAGGTCCGAAACCAGGTTCAAACTGATCCAAAACAAGTTTACCTCCTGGTCTAAAACCAGTTTAGAATCAGTTTAGAACCAGTAGAAAATCAGGCGTAAAACCAGTCCGGAACCAAAACAAGTCCAAGACCAAGTCTTAAACTAGTCCGCAACAGGACTAAAACCACTTCAAAACCAGATGTGAAACCAGTGTAAAGCCCACATCTAAAACCGGTCCGAAACCAGGAGTGAAACCAGTCAAAACATCAAATTCAAAACCAGTCCAAAACCAGTCCAAAACCAGGTCTGAAGCCAACGCAAAGCCAGGTCCAAAACCAAGTTCAAATAAGATCCAATGTGAAACCCAAACTAAAGGAGATTTAAAACCAGTTCAGAACCAGGTCTGGAACCAAGTCCAAAACCCAGACTAGAACCAGTCTAAAACCAAGTTTCAATCAAAGTCCAAACCAGGTGCAAAATCAGGTCCGATACCAGTCAGAACCCAAAGGCTTGGTCCTGGCGTCATGGAGTGGGTCTGGGCCTGAATGAAGAGACAAACTAAACAGAACCGACTGGTCCAGAACCTGCAGCAGTAACCTTCTCTGGTGGTTTTTTCTCATTAACTAACTCATCAGTCGAGACTAAAACCGACCACAACAACAAACCCGACGGGCCTGCGGGTCGCCACCAGGTGCATTCTGGGAAACCCCGGCGACGCGTTTGAGTGTCGCAGGACGAGCAGAAGGCAGATCTGTGTCGGTGTTTACATGCCGCTGGTCGTGGGTGGAGGCGTCCAAACAAACATGAGAACTCAGAGACTCCGTTTTCCCACAACTCCCAGCTGCTGCGTCGCCATGGAAACCCCACGGACCCACCAAACGGGTTCAAGCTCGGAGCGATGAGCCAATCACAGCTATTGACAACAAACACTGAAGTAATCAGCATGATTCTCTGGAATCTGAAAATGTTTCACCTCCAGATGAAACCTGGTGAGAAGCTGCAGGACTCTGGTCTGGATCTCCGGCTCTGATCAGATCAGCGTCACACCAAGAGTCAAAGTGAAAGTATGAAGGAGCAGAACTTAAAAACAACCTGGGAAAGTACCGGAAACTCTGTGGTCGGTGACTAGATCAGTGGTTTAGTTTTCAGAAGATGTAGGTGTTCTGATAAAGAAGTGATTGTTTGATTCTTTTTATTTTCAAAGACAAAACGATAAAACTTCACAGCTTCCCAAAGGAAGCAGTGATCTCTGCATTTCCAGGTAATTATTCAATCAGGAAAATGAGCTGAATCAACACTGAAGCTGCTCGTTAGCGGTCCGGCCGGTCGGGTCCGTCCCTGAGCAGCAGTCGGAGCTTAAAGTCGTCGTTCCAGGTGATGTTTGCTGCTGAAGCTTCTCTCGGGCAGCTTTACGTCGGCGTCTCAGGTGTCTCCGGATAAAAAGCCTGACGGTGAGAACGAAGCGCTGCTGTTTGTATTGTGTGGAGGAAACGACGGCCCAAAGCCAGCGCCGCGGGTCGAGTTTCTGCCTTTTGTTGCTGCAGAGAAAATTGTGTCTGAAAGCTGCCATTGTTGTGGAGGTGACCCGGAGTGGGACCTGAGGAGATGGTGGGCGGGTCCATCCGTGAAAGGAGAGTGTTGGAGGAGGAGGAGAACCAGGTGGGAAGCTCTGGCAGACTCAGGGTTCAGTTTGGATTCTTCAGTTCGATTCATGATTGAGAGAAAAGGGGAAGAAAGTTCCTGATCCGACTGGATCTGGGTGAAGAGCG